AAGGTAAGATACCAGGAACATGAAAAAAATGTTTAAAAAATTCTAACTGTCAAAAAATTTTGACATTTATTTTTTGACATTTGACATTTTTTTATATCTATTTAATGATACTGATGATCTTGTATATGTTTTTTTACAATTATTTAGTAAAGGGACAAAAATTTTGCCAATAAAAGCCACAAATAACATTGAAAAGAGTTACAATTTAGGATACAGCTTCCTTAATTCCTCTTTTAATAGCTTATAGCAAAAAAATTTGAAAAATTATTTTTCCAACTGAAATAAATAGAGTCAAAGTGCAAACTTTAAACCCTCATAACTTCAAAATTTTTATAGATAAAATTTTTTTAACATTTTTTCCATGTTTCTGATATCTTACCTTATATGACATTTTTCTCTGGGGCGCGAGTTCTGGCACACCCTGTATATATATATATAACTATAAAAATTGTATTTCTATCTCAAAAATTTAGAAAGCCGAATTGCCCAATTTTTTTTATAGTTCTGATAATAAAAAAATTGTTCCATTGAAAAATTCAATATTTGACTGCTGTTATTCAGCACCCTGTATATTAAAATGAATTATAAAGAATCATGTAATAAATATTTGTTAATTTTATATGTTTATTGTACAAAAATTGTTGATATACAGTCGCTAGTCCTTGCTACTTGCTTCAGTATTTTGCTAAACAGTCGTCCATATTTTTCATTTGAATTTCATTAACCGTTGCGACACAATAATCCAAATTTTTCCTCATCTCTCGAACGGTTCATATTTCATCGGACGAAATAATAAATTCCAGTCTTTTTTGTACACTTCCTCTCTCTCATTTATACTCATTTATTCTTTACAGTTACTACGCTTCAACGTCATTTCCTGTGGGCCCTTCGCGATTGGTTCCGCCGATAAAAAGGCAAAGGTTAATGACAACTGCAAGAAATGGCAAGAACAATCAATCGCAGAAAACAACGACTGTTCCGCCACTCGATCAACTCAAAGTCTACAGTAAGTACAACAAATTTATCATAATTTTTTGCCTTTATTGTCATTCCAGAAAATCCCCATTTCAACGAGTTATTAATTATCCCCTTTATCGCTCCATCGCTTTGTGAAAAAGTCCTCTCTTAAATCTAAACGTTGCAAATCTGGCTTAATCTCACTGGACGTTCTTAATGAATAAATAACGACACCGTAATGCAGTAATCTTCAATATTTGTCTTGTGTGTCTGGGTATTTTTTGGATGAGAGTAGCCGTAATAAGCACTCTATATTAATCTCAATTGCATTAATATTTAAAATGGGGCTTTAATGTGACGTCATAAGCGACTGGGCGGCCCTACAATGCACAGACGGCTTTTGTAATTGCATTGTACGCCAGAACAGCAAGCTACATTAAGAGTGACAAATGCGAACGGCTCTACTCTGTCGCAAACATCGCACACTGAAATATTTTCGCTTTAGGACGGACGTAATTAAAACTATTAATAAAAAAATTTAACGAAGATTAAGAAAATGGACACAACTTTATCAAAGATGTAATGGAGAAAATGAGGCAAGAATGATAACATTAAAAAATATCGAAAAAAGTCAAAATTTTGATTTTCCAATAATTTAGGCACTGAAACTACTAGTCTGTCTAACTTAATTTAAATGTAATTCTAAAAATTATCATTTTTTATTAGTCGAGTCTTCAACGATTAATGTGTATTACTAGTTATTCTCAAATTTGTAAGGTTGTTAGATTCTTATAAATCAACTTCTTGTATATCTAGAAGTATTACTGTTATTTTCTGTTTTTGTTTAACTGCCAAATTTGGTAGTAATGTATCCTTATTTAACAATGTCAAGTTAATTAATACACAGGGTGTGTCATTAGTATTACTCGTGGTGTGGTTTTCATTTTTTGGTTTTAGATATAAGTTGCAGTGTTGCCAAGTTATTGGCGTTTTTTTATTTCTTCTAGCATTTTTATTGATGATTTTTGAATTTTTACAGAAATATAAGTTTTGAGTTTTACAATTGTAAAATTTGCATTTCTGGCATTCTAAATTTTGAAACTTTTACTTTTGAATTCTTGTACTATATAGATTTTTCAAGTTCTACTAAAGTTTAATATTGAAATACATATTATAACGATTTCTAAAATTCTAAAATTTTGTAAAAAATTTCAAAATTTTTGCACTACTAAAGTCTGTTTTTTTTTAATGGAAATGCCAAACAGTCTTAACGTTGGCATCACTAGTAAATTCATCCATGGTAATTTTAATAAAGGAAGTTGGCAGTTCCGGTTTTTTGAATTAATTTGAAAACAATGTCATTAAACGTCAACACAAAAAATCGTCTAAGAAAATTTAGAGACGAAACACTAAAAAAAGGAACAAATTTGGTACCGCTAACAGTTTTTCGAAATTTGGAAACGAATAGTTCGCAAGCAGGAAGTTAGAAAAAGGGCCCGTTAAAATGTAGACGCAATTTGTAATGCAGGTTTGCTAAACATTCTTAATTTTTAGCAAAAAATTGACAAGAATACCAAATAAACGTGAATGAGAAAGAACCTCGGAAAGAACGCAATTAAATTAGTGTCTTGTGCATCGTTTTTGAGGAACGAGTTGAAAAAGTAACAATTTTGAAACAAAAGCTGAAGAAGAATTTATAAAATGCATCAACTTTGAGCTCATTTCAATAAATTACACAAAATTTATTACCAATCATCATAATACCCACTTATATCTTTTGATAAATAACTTTTTTCCGTATAAACATCTTTTTTTTTCAAAGTTTTTGTAGCAAGAATCTCATTTTTGTTCACAACATTGTACTTACTTGCGGTGTGTTTCTATCAAAATTATAAGCACTGAATCCTGTCTTTAGACCTTAGATAATGATGTCTGTCCTCAGGTATTCAATTATAGCGCTTTCAAAGAGGAAAAGGCACACAAGATTCATAAAAGTCAAAATTTTGACAACATCTCAATTTGAACACATAACCATAATTTTTTAACAAAATTTCTAGGGACAAAAACAAAGAGCAAACAAAATTTGTGGCTATGGAGACAAGCTGCTACCAATTTTTTCACCAAAATTTTGACTTGGTAATTTCCATTTAAAAAAAAAAACAAACTTTAGATTTATTTTTTTTCTAATTATTTGTAAGATAAGAAGTTACGAATTATATACATATAAATTGTAATATAATCTACAACTTCTAACAAAAATTATTATTTTTTGCATCTAAAATATCGAAACATTTAATTAATATTCCTCTATTTTATATGAGTGACCTTAAAATTAAATTAATTTCAAATCCAAATTTCTATTTCTGGAATTCTAAGATTTTTAATTTTGTATTTCTAAATATTACATTCTTAAAACTGTATTTGATGAAAAAAATTGCTTTCAGACTTCTTGCAAACCTTGCAAATATCGTAATTTTTAACCTATATTGTTGATTTTTCGCCTTATAAAGCAAAATTTCGTGAAAAGGCAGTTTTTAGCGTAAAACGTTTATTTTTAACAATAAAAGTGTAAAGTAAAAATAGCGTCATATTCAACACAATTAAATATTTTTTTGGCAATTTGAAGCAAAATTTTATACTAGTTTTTTGAAATCTATGTTTACGAAATAGTAAAATTCGTATTTTTGATATTTCGCAATTTTATTTTTTTAATTTGTCATTTCTGAATTTTACTAAATGTAGGTAATTGTAATTTCCACTTTAGCACAGACTAAAACAATTTTTTTTATTTGCCTGAATTTTATTTCAAGATGCTCAAAACAAAGATATTAAAATTTAGATCAATTTCAAATTTATAAGAATTTATTTGTGATATTTCACGTGAACTGTCTAAAATTAGGTATTTATGAATTCACTAAAAACACTCTCTTCAATCTTTTCCGCCTAATGATTGCATTAATGATGAGTAATAACGTGAAGAAACGCACATTCAGGCTCCATTGGCACTCGCCCAAACTAGTTCTCAAACTTTCCAACAATAGCTGTATTAGAAGCGGCTTTCCTTATCTCAATTCTGTTTATTGTACGATTTCGGAATCACATCACTAATGAGGATTTAAAACCTCCTTAATTGATGGATAAAGACGAATAACCCGAACCGGAAATAAATCACTCGATTACCTCAATAAATCACCCATTAAAAAATTCCCTCTTTTTTTTCAGGCAACCAAGATATTTTGATCTGTGGTAACTGCCGAGAAATGTACACTGACTTGCACGATTTACTCGAGCACAAGAAAACTTACTGCAAACTCCGTTTCACATGCAAATGCGACGCGAACAAGTCGAGTAAGTGGTTTTTTCCGACCGTTTGGTGGACGTCGGAATTGAATTCGTTTCGTTGCAGAATCGCCAACTGATGATCATTCGGCGGCATCACTACTTTGTGTACAATGCAAAGACGCCTTCCAGAATGCTTGGGATCTGATGGTCCACGCTCAAGCGGCACATATGTTGAATATCTACGAGTTGGGGGTGCCAGCGTTGGCAAATTGTGCGTCGCCGCCGCTCTCGCCTAGAGATAACAACACTCCAGACAAAGTAAGAAATTTCGAATATTTTTGCATATTCTACAATTGCAATCTTTTTGATAAGATAGCAAATTAAATAGGCTTACACACAAGAAGGCTATTGACAATAATTTCGGAGTTATTAGCTGATATACCGAAAATCAACCAAAATTTTGTCAAAAATTGAAAAACTTGAAAACTTCAAAATCTATCCAAATACACTTGTATACACAGGTGTTCCGTCTAAACCCCACATTAGAACTATTGGGAGTTGGAATAATCGTATTTATTTAAAAATTGGTACATAGCCATAAACCATTAAGTTCACCTAAATGAAAATATTTTCAAGATGGCGCCATTTTCGGTTATACCGGAAGTTGGTCTCAACTTTCTTATTTTAAATGGAAAGCTTTATTTTTTACTGCATTTTTGGATTAATCGGGTTATTTTAAGGGAGTTTTTATCAGCTTTTCCTATACCTAAATTTAGCCGTTTATGAAATATTTGGAGTTTTTTTTTAAAAAATTTGGATCTGCACCTTCCACTTTAAAAATCAGTAACTCTGCCATTTTTTACGATTTTGAATTCGTTTTTTTGGTGTTTGAAAGAGAAAGCTAATATCCTTATTCTGGTGTTTTCAAATTTTGAAAAAAAATAACATATATCAAAATTTTAAAGTTACTTATAACTCAATTTTTTCAAATGAAATACCCCAATTCTTATTTTACTAAATAGAAGAGAATTTAATTGTGCATTGATCTGTATTAACATTTCCTACACCTAAATTTAATAATTTTCAAGTTATGGACTTTTTTTTAAGACTACAGAAAATTTATTACTAGCCACATGCGGTTTCACATAGTTTGCTATGTGAATCAAAAATGTCAAAATTGTTTCTCAATAAACGTCGGCAGTGACTTATTATTTGACAAACAGTGCCAAAATATGGAGAATCAAAGTTATGCAAACTTAATTATTATTGATATGTTCTACCATGCGGTCATTATTTAAAGTTGACAAGTGAAAAAAAATTATTTTTGTTTAATGAACATCATAATTTTGTTACACTCTCCATAAATACAAAATAAATTAATTAAATCTAAGTTTGAGTAGCTTTAACCCTCCACATTTTGGCACTATTTGTTAAAAAATAAGTCACTGTCGACGTTTATTGAGAAACAATTTGGACATTTTTGATTTCCATAGCAAACTATACGAAAACGTAATAGATTTTCGACAGTCTTAACAAAAAGTCACCATAACATAAAAATTATTAAATTTTGGTATAGGGAATGTTAATATAGATCGATGGAGAATTAAATTCTCTTCCATTTAGTAAAATGGAAATTACAAAAGTAACCTTAAAATTTTAGGGTTTGTTAATTTTTTTTTCAAAATTTGAAAACACCGGAAGAAAGATCTAAACTTTTTCTTTCAAACGCCAAAAACGAATTCAAAATCTTAAAAAATGGCAGAGTTACCGATTTTTGTCGATGTTTATTGAGAAACAATTTTGACATTTTTGATTTGCATAGCAAACTATACGAAAACAATAGATTTTCGGCAGTCTTAACAAAAAGTCACCATAACTTAAAAATTATTAAATTTAGATATAGGGAATGTTAATACAGATTGATGCAGAATTAAATTCTCTTCCATTTAGTAAAATAAATATTGGGGTATTTTATTTAGAAAAATTGAGTTACGGGTATTTGAATTATTACAAAAGTAACCCTTAAATTTGTTTGTTAATTTTTTTTTCAAAATTTGAAAACATCAGAATAAAGATCTAAGCTTTCTTTTGAAACGCCAAAAAAACGAATTTAAAATTTTAAAAAATAGTTACCGATTTTTAGAGTGGAAGGTGCAGATCCAAATTTTTTTGAAAAACTCCAAATATTTCAAAAACGGCTAAATTTGGGTATAGGGAAAGCTGATGAAAACTCTCTTAAAATAACCCGATTAATCCAAAAACGCAGAAAAAAATATAGCTTTCCATTTAAAATAACAAAGTTGAGACCGACTTCCGGTATAACCGGAAGTGCCGTCATCTTGAAAATATTTTCATTTGGGAGAACTTAATGAATTATGGCTATGTACCAATTTTCAAACAAATATGATTATTCGAACTCTCAATACTTTTAATGTGGGGTTTAAACGGAACAGCCTGTATACGTGTCTATAGAGACCAGAAAAGTGTATAAAACGTTGCAAAAACGAAAAAAATATGAATAAACAAATTGGATTAGGGCAGAGACACTAGCCGGGAGCGTGGTGGCGCAGTAACATAAGATCCTCCTTTGAACCTCGGTAAAGTCAAAACTCTTCCAATTTTATCCATTTGTTTGAACTTTTTGCAAAACTATTCACTCTTCTTTTCCAAGCTCTGATAAAAACCCCAAAAGACATTCCGTTAATTTAAATAAACATCTCAGAGCAATATTATTACAAATGCGAATAATAATGCCTGTCTCAAGATGTTATTGTTCCGGTTTTAGAGCTGTCAGCTACAGACCTCCTCCTCCACCATCTTGCGCCCTCTATTCGCGATCTCTTAAGCGGATCCTTGGCGAATATAAATTGAGAATTCATTCGCCTGCTTTGGACTTTTTCCCTCTCGCAATCGGAAAACAAAGAACACCGAATCTAACCGTGCTTTGAACCAAGCAAAGACGTATTTACATAGCCGTTTAAAAACAAAAAGAGGAAATTGCCACTTAGATGTCTTTAGTTTGTGCCGCCATCTGTGTTTCTCCTATCGGTTCTCAATCTGCAAACACGACACACTTTCAAAGAAAAAACTCAGATTCTAACAAAAATAATATTCCAATTGAAAAAAAAACTGTTAAATACCAACATATCTCTTAAATTTTCTCGTTTAAATTTTGGTTATTCCTAAAAGACCAATTAAAGTTAATTATCCCCATTTTAACACGATCCAATTTTTCGTCCTTTGATAAAACATACAAATGTGCTTTGTAATTCAACTCGTCTTCAATCAACAATCGAATTTTTGTTTGTGTTTGTCCATGTCCAGGTGTAATTTTCATTTTGTGCTGTCAAGTGTCGAATAACGTGCAATTTTCAACACAAAAACACAACCCGATAATAAATTAGAAAGGAGGAGTCGTAATCACAGGGCGAGTTCGACGTCGCTCCTTCAAAGCCCTAATCTATCCTCTAATGTCTCTCTCCTGCTGATCCGATATCGTAGCCCACCCCCGAGTTTCGCAATTACTAAAATCTATAACGCCAAAAGTGGGAAATAACTGATTTATACCGGAGGAAGAAGATCCGGACCCCTGGGAAGGCACTGATAAGCTATAATTATGGAGCTGTCTTTGTAAATAACTGTTTCTTTCGGAATTTATGAAACAGCTTTAGCATGCTATAGTCTTAGATAAAAAATTCTAATTCTGTTTTATTTATTTCAATCTTATCTCTAAAATGTTACTCTGCTTCAAGAAATTAGTTTATATTTTCTAAAATATTGTACTGAGCTAATCAATTTTTTGATAGGCGCATTACAAATTTAAAATTCGTGTTAAATCTCTAAAAAGATCATCTTTAAAAACAAAAGATACGAATTTTTAATTTTGTTCATGCACTTTATTGGAAAAGAAATTAAGACCATTGTTTGTCTTCACAGAAGATATAAAATATAAAATGTTTATCGATTTGTTAAAGAAAAAAGTTAATTGATATTTTACAAAGTTAAATCTTTTAAAAAAAATCTTCAAAATTAAGTAAAATCTGTGGGATTTTTTTAACTTTATTCTGTCCAGTTTTCTTATTCAAATCGTAGTCATCTGTAACTTTGTTTGGGAAAAACGAAACAAAAAACATCACGTCAATTTTTCATTAAAAAAATTCCATCCATCCTGTCAAAATTTTCAGTAAATTTGAGACTATGAGTGAAATTCATGCGGAAAAAAGCGACTCTGATATTAGTACAGACTCCTGGACCCTCCTTGACGAAAGTTTAGACACAGACGAGCAAAATTCTGATCATTCATCCGACGAAAATCTTGAAGTTGAAGAAAACCAAACTCCAAGCGAAAACGAAATCAAAAACCGGAAAAATGAAGGCTTTCTGACATTTGACGAATATTTGCAAGAACGTCTCCTCGAATACGACTACGAACACCAGGAAAAACCTCACAAACTTCGACGATTGTACAAAGACAAGTTTAGATGCTTCCGGAAATGCAAAGCCAAAACCTTGGGTATTTCCATTCTTTTCACGATTGTTGTGGTACTGTCAGCTTTCGCAACTTTATGCTCCACCCTTTCACAGCCTCCCGGAAATGAAGTGGAAGAAATCCAATTTAATCCGGTCAAGCCCAGCAACTCGTCAATTCACCTAAACCAAATCCTTGAACATTTCAATGAAACCTTGAAGAATTTTGAGGAGATTAAACAAGTAGAACTTCCGCCGCCCCCACTCAAGGTAACAGTCAACGAAACGATTTCTGAAGCGTTTCCTCGAAGGAAAAAACCGATAATTGGGCCTAAATATCAATTTCCAAAGTCAAATTTTCCGAAATGTGAGAGAAAAAATGCCAAGATTCGAGCAAAATCTACCAAAACAAAATGGTCGATTTTGAAGGACATTCTTCTAGATTCTAACTTCCACGCTTTGGTTTCACTAATTATGACCAACATTTATCTATTTGCTTTATTTTCCGACTTTACCAAAAAACCTTGTATCAAATCAAGGCGCGAGGAAGCTTTACTCGAAGATTTGGAGAAAAGTAACAACGTTGAAGAAATCAGAAGATACTTGTTTAAGGAATTGCCCTTCTGGAACGCCGAATTTATACCAAAAGTTTTGAAGAAGAAGAAATGTCATAAAACGGTTTCAGTGGCAACTTGTCAAGAGAAGAAACCTGAAGATTATATCTTCCGTTCTTGTCCTTTTCTCTCCAAACAAACGATTGATCCGGTCGTTGTGCCCTGTGTTGAAACCGGGATAAGCGAATGTCAACGAAGATTCGAAGAACTTGACCAACACCACAAAAAGTATAACCA